AACTTAAATTAAATTACTATATTGGAGAAACCCTATTATTTACGATATATACCCATTATGGTAACTTAATTTAAGTTCCTTAACAGCAACCCAGTAGTTCGAGCCAAATGGCAAAAATGTTGTGGACGCCTCACGTGGAAGCTATGGAGCTCGGCTGGGAATTCTCTTTCCAATGTTGATCCCCATACTGTCAGCACATGGTTTAAGAACAAAGCGAGTTCAGGGGACCGTACCTTGCTTTGTATCTAGAGTGTCACCCATGCAACCCAGTAAGTAAGTCATGTCCGCAATGACTATAAGTTACCTACGTGGTACACGCTAGCATGCATCCACAGCAACTGGGGGAGTTGTGGAGGAAATATAGATAAATATTATATATATATAGATATGTATATATATATATATTTCTATATAGCTATACACTTGACTTGTAGGTACTATTACTATTGCATGGCATGGGGCTGTGCAGGGATGAATTTGGATTCTGTTTTGGTGTCGTTTGAACAGCAGAAGTTGAGAGAACCAGTTCCATGGAGCTAGGGGGATGGATCCCCACAACAATGATCCGTATAGTTTAGGTTGTAGAGTTGAGTGCTTATCGGAATTTGTGGAAGTTTCTTTCAAGAATGATGTCTATAGAGTCCTCAATATGGACCCCTTTACTCCCCTTACAGCGCCTCCAGGCGCCTCCAGGACCCTCCAGGGCCCTTGAGGGGGCCCAGGGGCCTCGAAGGTCCTGAAGGCTCCAAGGGCCCTCCACAGGAGTCTCCGCACCTCGGGCACCAAAACATCCCTGAAATTTGTAGGATGCCCCAGTTTCAGAAACACCCTAAGCCAGGAAACTAAACGCCCTGGACCCTGAGAAAAACCATCCGCCAGGTAGATTGCTTGAGGCCAGCTTATTTCGCAGTCCCTTGGCTGCACCTTCCGAGGGCCTGCCCGGGTCAAATAATGCTGCATACCGGCTGAGGGGTATCCTAGCGATTACAAAGGATGATGGGGGTGGGTCCCTATTAAGGGCTATTAAACGGTCAAACGGGTAGTTCTTGCACTTTTGCTGTCCCGACATCGCCCGCCAATGCTATAGTTAGCGCACGTGATTGCCCAAAATGGGACAGGGTTCAGAATTTTGAGAGCCGCCCTAGTGCTCCCATAAGTCAGGTCATGAATTATTGTAGGTTGCGTCCTAAGCCAGCAGGGAAAGGAACCAGGTGGTAATAGGACCTGATGAGGGGACCTGTTCATAGAAGTGTTTGGGGACCTCTACAGTACACCCGTAAACACAGATTCGCAGAAGCTAAGGTGGATCTACCTCATGATGTGTGGCCTGGTGCTACTTCAGCCTGTTCCTCAGTCCTGTTAACGCCCACCCCTTACCACCTCCTCCCCAAAATCGGGCCTACCTAAGCCAAGAA